GAGAGAGAGGGAGAGACAAATTTTAGAGTAAAATGACAGGTTTATAAAATGTATGAATTGTAGACAGCCATAAAGACTATAAGAAGCAGGGGAAAAGTTAAGTGATAAAGCAGTTAATAAATTAATAAATAGAGAAAAATTGTTTAACACTTGCTTATTCTGTTCCACCTACTTGTGAGCAGTCAGGCTTTGCTTATTATATCAAGGAAGCCTAACCCTTAACTCTGACATTAAAGATTAGATATTCAAGTACTTCATTGGCCTCCCAAGATATTCAAAATAAAGTCCTAATTGAAAGTTACCATGAACCTTGCCTATATTTCCCACCCTATTGCCTGCTGCTTACTCTAGGTTCAGAACAGTCAATGAATAAAGGCTTCTACCAAGCAGAGAAGTTATCATCTGCTCTTAAATGCATGAAAAGTCCAGAAAAGAAAATGGAAAAGAATATAGGACAGTAACATTTGTCCTTTATAATTTAATTTTTTGGGTTTTTTTTTAAGATGGGGGGGGTCTCCGTATAGCCACAGCTGGCCTGAACTCATAATGTAGACCAGGCTGGCCTTGATCTCACAGAGATCCACCTGCCTCTGCCTTCTGAGTGCTGGAATTAAACGCATGTGCCACCAGACCCAGCCCCATAATTTATTTTTTATATAAAAAATATTGACTAAAATTGGGGCTGAATAGATGGATCAGTGATTAAGAGCATGCACTGCTCTTCGAGAGGATGATTCCCAACATCCACATTGTGTGGTTCACAAGTACCTGCAACTCCAGCTCCAAGGGATCCAACACCCTCTTCTAGCCTCCTCAGGCAACAACACTCATAAGTACATATTCCACACAAGCATGTGTGCATGCACATGCACACACACACACGCACACACACACACACACACACAATTTACAATATTTTTTAATCAAACAAAATCTTAAAAGTGGGGCATGGTGGCTCACTCCTTTAATCTCTGTTCTCAGGAGGCAGAGGCAGGCAGATCACTATGAAGTCAGGGCTAGACTGAGGTTCAAATCCCAGAACCCACATGGCAACTAACACCCATCCTTAACTCCAGTTCCAGGGATCCAATGACCTCTTCTGTCATTGAAGAGGCACTGAATGACACGGGTGTACTTCATAACACTCATATACATAAAATTAAAAAATAAAGAATTTTTAAAAAGAATATAGGTTAAATGGAAACAAAAAAAGGATAGAAGGAAAGAAGGGAGGAAAAGGAAGGGAGGCAGGCAAGCCTGCCTAACAGACCAAATCAGTTACCACTGCAGGTGGTTTAACACAAAACACACATTTGATGAGGCATCATCACACTGTCTTCAAAAATTAAAAGTCAAAATGAAGAAACAGGCAAGCTGACCTCTCTTCCGCTGGTTACTGGACTGAGCCTCATCTTCGCTGACATTTTCAGCTGGACCATCTAGTTTTGCTTCCCGGTTTTCTTTGCTTTCACTGTTGCTTCTTTTTTCAATCTTCTCTTCTTTTTCTTTTCTAACTTGTGGCTTCTTATTTCCTTGACTGATAACACTTGGAGACTGCAAAAGAGTGATCTGAATAGAACCATTTCCATTAACATTTCACTAACATATCCAAAAATTTGTGTCAATATCCTAAATAGTATAAAACAAATGAAAAAGAAAATAACATCAAAAATAAAAAGCTGGAAAGCTGAGGATGTAGGTCTTTAACAGTGGAGTATTTGCCTAGTATGCATGAGGCCCTGGGTTAAATACCCAATTGCCAACCCCCAAATACATAGACAGACAGACACATAAACATAGGAGAAGACAGATGCTCTCTACTATTAGTCAAAGAAATGCAAATTGAAGCTGCAATGCAATAACATACATTCAATGAAAAGGCTACAATGTTTTAGAAATCATATTAAGAGTAACTGATACTGTTAAGTAACTGAAATTCTTTAATTTTTATTATTTTTATTTCTTTGATATAGGGTGTCACCATGTAGTCTTGGCTGGCCTGAAACTTGCTAGGTAAACCAGGCTGGCCTCAAACTCACAGCAATCTGCCTACCTCTGCCTCCCAAGTACAGGGACTAAAAGTGTGCTCAGCACACCAGCAATAACTGGAATTCTTAGACACTGCTGGTAGGAAAGTTTGTTAAGAAGCTAAATAAATTTTTATTTATATTTTATGTACATGAGTGTTTGCCTGCATGTATGTAAGTGCTCCTGTGTCATGCAGTGCCTGCAGAGGCCAGACGAGGTCATTGGATCCCCTGGAATTGGAGTTAGTGGCCATGTGGATATGGGGAACATAACCCAGGTCCTCTGCAATAGGAGCCAGTGCTTTTAACTGCTGAATCATCTCTCTAGCCCCAATATAGAGTATATGAGCTAGCTAATCTACTCCTAGCTATTTACTGTAAAAAAAACTCAAAGTATATATATGCGCAAAATTTTGTACTAAAAATTTAATAAAGCAGTTTCATTTATAATATGCAAAATCTAGAGTCACCCTAAATAGCCATTAACAATAATCAAATGGACAGAATGGACAATGTTACAACCAGGATCTCTGTGAAATGAGGCCAGCCTGGTCTACATATCAAGTTCCAGGCCACCTGGGATCCAGGCCAGCTGGGACTACAGAGAGATTCTTTCTCCAAAACAAATAAACAAACATAAAAAGATGTATTACTGATACACATAACGAGATCTCAGGATAATAATACCAAATAAACCAGCAATAAGAGTACCTCCTGTACAATTCTACATTCATAGAAAAAACAAATTAATTCATAGTGGCAGAAAGCATATTGGCGGCTGCTTGATGGGGAGATAAATGAGACAAGAAAGTATAAGGAAACATTTGAAAGCAATAGTTATTATCTTGATACTGATAATGTTCTTCATGTATACTCCGGCCACAACTTATCAAATTATACATCTACATGTAGTTTATCCTATGTTACTTATCAATTAAAACTATTTTACTTAATATATGTAACCAAACTCCAATAATATTTCACAAATTACAAATAGTAATTACAATGTCAAATGAAAAGACAGTCATTTAAACCATATAGGCTCCCTCTCTAAAAAGCCCCTTGATATATGTTGAGTCTTCTTTTACAGCTTATTTCATAGTTAAAATTAAAAGCAAATTCATTCAGCCAGGTAATGACTAATCTCAGGCCTCAGGAAGCTGAGGAAGAATCCTAGGTTAAAGGCCAGCCTAGACTATCCTGTCTTAAAAACAACAAAATCAATCAATCCCCATTGCACACGTCTTGATATGACATATGCATATATGTTAAGTGCAAATATATATATCTATATAAAATGCTTCAACATATATTGAAGATTATAAATCAGAGTATATATATATATACATATGTAGGGGGCTGGAGAGATGGCTTAGCGATTAAGAGCACTTGCTGCTCTTTCAGAAGACCTGGGTTTGATTCCAGCACCCATATGGCAGCTAACAACCATTCGTAACTCTAGTTCCAGGGGATCCAACACCCTCTTCTGTCCTCCATGGGCAGAAGTGCACGACATGGGTGGACTTACATACATGCAGGGATAACACTTATAAGATAAAAATGAATAAATAACATATATAGCACAAAGTTTGAAACAAAATAGGTTTCAATTAGACACATTAAAAATTAATCCTTTTTTTTTTGTCTTTTTGAGACAGTCTCCCTGTAGCCCCAGCTGGCCTGGAACTCCCTATGTAGACCAGGCTGGTCTTGAGCTCACAGAGATCCATCTGCCTTGGCCTCCCGAGTGCGGGAACTAAAGAAGTGCACCACCACACCTGGCAAAAATTAATCCTTTTTTTAAAATTACAAAAATGATACAAACACCTCATCCCATCCTCAAATATAAGGTTATCTCCTGGGAATACAACCAGGTAGGGAGATATAAATGAAGTCAGTATTTGATAATCGGGTAAAAACTACAAAAGAGATAGTTGTCAAATTTTCATCCACTTCTTACCAAAATGTATAATCTTATAAAAATACAAAATTTTGATTTATTATGATTTATATGTGATCATTATTACAAAAACAATAGGTAAAGCTTAGTCTGGGTAAACATTAGCCACCAGATTCATTACTAATACTACTAGTAACATCAAAGGACGACTGCAAATCAAAACAATAATCCTACTAATGAGCCAAGTCTTTAAACATACTCATCACAGCAAAGAATGCTGAAATAAAAATTGTTTGTAATGTTTTAAATACTTACCCCTGTGTTCACTAATTCACCTGGTGTTGGCCAGTTTGCCATATCACTGAAATCACTAGCCTAAAAGGTAATAAAACAACTGTTAGGACTCAAAATTACCTTTAGAATTTTTAAATTAAAAAAAAAAGCTAAAAGTCATTGTTTTAGCCAGGTATGGTGGCTACAACAGTAATTCCAACACTTAGAAGCAGGAGGAACAGGAGTTCAAGGTCAACTTTAGGTACACAGCAAGTTCAAGGTCAGCCTGGTCTCCATGAGACCCTGACTCAAAAAAAAAAAAACCACAATGACAAATAACAAAATCAAAGTGATAGTAATTTCCAGACCAGCTGGGGCTATAAGGAGACCCAGTCTCAAAAAGACCAAAACAAAGAAAAAAATCACCTATACTTATATGTAAACATAGCAAATTAGTTCAAATGTCCTCCAGACAACAGAAAACTGTGAAATAAAAATCAGTGGTCTTATGAACAAATTTCAAGCAGAATTGTTTCTAAACAACTTTCATTTAATAACTACTTTCTGGGGCTAGAGAGATGGCTCAGCAGTTAAGAACACTTGTTCTTCCAAAGGACCTGGGTTCAATTCCCAGCACCCACATGGTGGCTAACAATCATCTCTAACTCCAGGTTCAGGGGATCCAACACCTTCTTCTGTCTGACAAGCATGTCACATATTTACATACATGCAGGCAAAACACTCATACACATAAAATAAAAATGATAAATAAAATATTTTTTTAAAAAGAGAACTACTTCCTGGGGCTGGAGAAGACGGCTTGGTGATTGTGCATTGACTGTTCTTACTGAGAACCAAGGTTTGTTCCAGCACCCACAATAGCAGCTCACAACAGTCTCAACTCCTGTTACAGGGTATCCAATGCCCCCTTTCAGCCTCCACAGGCACTCATGCATGTGGCACACACATACACATACTTGTACATATAAAATTAAAATAATTTTTTTTAAAGAGCTACTTCCTATAAAGGCCTACCTTGTTGGATTTCTTTGTCTTGAGTTTCCCTGCTTTTATAATTTTGGGGGAATTGAGCTCTAAAGAAAAATACATACAATTATACAATTAGTTTTACAACTATCTTGCTTAATATATTTAGCAAAATGAATATTTCAATTTCAGCAAGTTAGCACATTCATCATTACCAACAAAATCCAAGTTTCTGAAATTCAAATCCCTAGAAAGACCAAGCATAATACACAAATTCACATTTGTTACCCATGTCCAAATCAAGAAGAGGGAAATATTAATTTACAGACTACAATATGGCAAAATTAGAAATATAACATTTTTAAGTAAAATTCAACTCTACCCACTTTCTTGGGTTTTTGTTTGTTTTGTTTTTTCAGCAGTACTGGGATGCACAGGGGCAAATGCTCTACTTCTAAGCTACAGCCCCAGCCTTCAACTTACTTTGTAATGGAATAAATTATTCTATATTATTAATTTATTCAAACAACATTCAGAAAATAGGTCACAAGACTTCAAACTACTTGTTCTGGGAAACAAACAGGCTTGGCGACCTTAATAGGTTATATATAGAATTCAGCCATACAAAGGAAAGTAACTGGTCTCTGTCAAAGTTCCCTAAAGACCATTATTGTGGGCTGAAGATGCAGCTCAATGGAGCACTTGCTTACCTAACATGTACAAGACCAGCATCCCCAAACAAACAAGCAGGAAAAAGAGACCACCACTTGTCCTTATCTTGAAAGAAGGTACAGCGCCACACTGGTTGACTATAAATGCCAATATACTGTCTTCAAATCTTTTAAGCCGTGATTGAGTTTTTAAAATTTAATTTTTAGAGACAGGCTCTTACTACGTAGTTCTAGCTGGCCTGAAGCTCATTACATAGACTGGCTAGCCTCAAACTTGCAGTAATACTCCTTTCTCTGCCTTCCTAGTGCTAGGATTACAGGTGGAAGCCACCACAACTGGCTATGCCAGCCTGGCCTACATTGGAAGTTTACAGTCAGCATTAGCTACAATGAAGACCTTTTCTCAAAAAACCAACTACACAAACACCCCAGACTTGAGATCTACATCAACAAACAATAAATAATCTAACAAAAATATGAATTCCATAAATCACAGCAATGGTCCATTTAGAGAAGAAAGCAGTCCTTTAAGTTGAAGATAAAGAAGTGGGGCTAGAGAGATGGCTCAGTTAAGAGCACTTAATGTTCTTACAGAGGACCTAGGTTTGGTTTCCCAGCACCCACATATGGCAGGTCACAACTACCTATGACTTCAGTTCTAGGGGATCTAATACCCTTTTCTGGCCTCCATGAGCATCTGCACACCTATAGTATACATACATACACTCAAGGCACACACATATATATACATGAGTAAATAAATCTTTCTTAAAAAAATTAGACGCAGCTGGGCTTGGTGGGGCATACCTTTAATCTCAGCACTCTGGTGGCAGAGGCAGGTGGATCTCTGAATTCAAGACCTGCCTAGTCTACATAGTGAGTTCCAGACCAGATGGGGCTACAGGGAGACCCTGCCTCAAAAAGACCAAAAAAAAAAAAAAGATTAGATGCAAGGGTTGGCAAGATAACTCAGTCAGTAAAGTGCTTGCCATATACTGAGGACGTTCCCTAGGACCCACATAAAAGCCAAATACAGTGGCATATATCTGTAACCCTAGCAGTGGGAAGGGACAGAGACAGGCAGATCCCAGGACTCACTCGCCAGTCAGTCTAGGTAAAATGGTTGAATTCCAGATTCAGTGAGAGAACCTGTCTCAAAAAAAATAAGGTGGGTAACTACAGCAGCAAACACTAGATGCTGGCCTCTGGTGTCTACTTGCACACCATGCATGCATGTGCCCTCCTCACCCCCATACAAATCTAGAAGATTTAAATAAGACATAGAACACACATCAACCAAGCACTGCCACAAGTTCAAAGCCAATCAGGGGTACAGACTGAAATGCTTTCAAAAAAAAGATTTATCAAAGAAAGAAGGTAACAGCATGGTGGAACATGCCTGTAATACTCTGGAGGCTGAGGCAGAGGTCTGAGGGTCCAGATTGGCTTGTCTCAAAACAAGAGAACAAAGGAAGTGCAAATATGATGAGAAATGAGCACGCACAGAATCTTGAACCACACATTCTATTTTAACAACTCTAAAGTACCATGTATATATGCATACATATATGTACACGGGCATATGAAGAAAATATTAAAGAATACTGGATGCAATACAGAAAAAATACAAAAAAATGAGACCCTCCAACCCCCCCCAAAAAAAACACAAAAAAAACAAAAAACAAAGGGAAGACCATGTGGAGGAAAACCTACATCTCTAATGAAATTCTTTGACTGA